GGTATGCAAATTTCTTTGATACAAAATGACGATACAGGTATTTTTTGCTATGAAAATGGGAAATGATGGATGAGAAGACTGAAAAATATTAGAAGAACAAGCACCCTGCCCCCTTTCTATTGCAGTCTCTCTCCCTTTTTATAGTAGAGGGTCACTACTTTATTTGTAACAACATAATAAAATAATACATATAGTGGAGGACCCATGATGGTTTGTCTCTGCCTTGGTTCCCGCCAAGATTCTCTCCCTCGGTGCGGTTGTAATGGCTCTTGTCTGCGAGCTTAGCACTGGCTCGAGCTCGGTGTTAGATCGAACCCCCAGTCTTGGTTCGAGCTCGATTCTGCCTTGGGGCATCGATATTCGAGGCCTGTATCGATCAGTGTTGCCCCGTAGTCCGATTCGGACACGGGCTCGATAACGAAATCGAGTTTTGCCGTCGATTTGTCTTATAATTCGAAGCTCGATGCCCCTACTTCGGAATTCGTCCGAGCTTGTTGCATGGATACCCTACGATTGAAACGTCATTGTCTCGACCAATCTTTATGACTGAGAACCGGTTTTGACCGTACACAGATAACTATTTCTTTACTGTCGTTTTGTGCTACTGTAGCAATTTTTGTTAAAAATTAAGACTCGCGGTTATGAATTTGTTGTCCGTATATATGTGTCGTGTGTTTGTCTGACTTGCATCTGTGAAGCAACATCAATGAGGGACTACCAAAATGCTCCATTATTAACTGAAACGATGTGTAAGTTTATGGTCATGACATTCTCTTATTAATTATGTCAGATATGATGTTTGCAAGACCTAAGTGAACAATTTTGGCTGCATCATTTGTATACGGACACTGTCTGAGTTAATTTTTTTTTTCAAATTCTTTGCGACTCCGCACCATAATTGTACATAGGTTTAGCACACCGTCTTTCGTGCAATGTTCTTCATAAATACACAACATTAGCTACAAGACCAAAGCTTTGTGACAGCATGTACATGTTGGATGTTAGTTTATACAGAGCCATCTCAAAATTTACACATAAAATCATCAATTCAATTACCGCAACGATGAGAAGGCTGTACAGAAGCTGCATATCATGACCAATAAACCGAGTTAGAATTAATAGAGAAAGAGACCATTAGATGGTTCACAAGCAAAATCATCTATTCAACCTGAAAACAAAGCTTAGCAACATATCTAGAGGTTAATCATGAGGTTAGAGCCATTTTCTTTAACTGGAGGATGACTTAAGCAAGAAGCAAAAATAACCTGCAATAAGACCAACAGAGCAGATAATTTATTGGGGTCTTGAGTAATATGCATGGGTGTTTCTCTTCTTAAGTTTCTATTATAATCGTCATGTTTGCTTTTTGTGCTTTGGGGGTAACGCGGCTAAATTGTTGGAGTTTTGGGTATGTAAATACTTCGTGTAGTATGCTTGGTTCAATCGCATTATCTTTGGTCTGATTGTCTTGTTGCATTGTTTAATTGTAGATTTCTTATCAAATAGTGTCGCATGTATGAATAGCAGTCATATTTGAGGTAATTTTATTTGATTGATGTTATCAATGAAAAAAACATAACAAAATATACCCAATGAATAAATAAATATTAAAAAAGAAACGACCAAATGACAAGTTAATGCAATTACGAATTATATGTATTTTTTCAAATTGTGATCCTTTGGAGGATCAAGCGATGACCAATTACGTCTTGAATTCAAATATTAGTTTACTAACAATGTTAATTTAGGATATACATTAATTAGTTCCATTTACTCCAACAAAATTACCTTTAGAACAAATATGCATGTGAAGTTTTACTATTTTTAGTGTTACATATTCGTGAAACGCATATAGAGACTAGTATGAATAGAAGAATAGACCAGCACTAAGATGGTGCTAGGACATTACAAAGTTAGGGATCCTTCTATACAAAAACAAAAAAGAAAGGCTCTATATATTCCTTGTCCGTGTAGTGACTATCAAATCTACTAAGCTATTTTCATCTTTTACATCCTGTACATTACACCAAAAAGCCAAAAACCATAAGCATTTATATTTGATCTTCTGTACAGCATCAACTTTCACTTCGAAGCATCTAGCTTCCTTTCCTGCCATAATACCCAGCAAACACAAGCTAATCAAGAACTCCTTACTGTATAGGTAGGGCATGACAAAAAGCATTTTGAAAGGTTAAAAATAGTAACCAGATTTGGTATGCCACTGGGCAGTGTAGGAAGAGTTGGCTGCAGTTTTCCTTTTCACAGAGCAGATAATATCTTGGAGACCTCTGAGCTTGACGTCGTACTGGATTATACTTTCCAAGTTTAGAAGCATAGAAAGACAATATAACAAATTAAAAGGATATTATTGGTATGGTATTAGCTAGATAATAGATGTTGTAGCTGTATTTATAATCTCTTACCAAAGAATAGTCAAGGATATTACACGTAAAGCATTCTAAACTCCGTACCTAATAAAATGGGAGCACTTGCAATGCCGAGGTAGTCTTCCTCCACTTCTCGATTACTGTACATGTTGACGGTAATCTTCTGGTCTTGTATTTCTAAATGATTACCTCGCAAATATTATGTCAGAATTTTTCTTTTCCAAAATCTATTAAAGAAAAAGTTATTGGGTTTATGAAAGATTAGTAAAAAGAATTGTGGAATTTTCTGTGTATTGATCTATGTCAAAGACAGTGTTTATATACAAATATCCTATGTAAAATAAAATGTAAAATAAATAAATTTCTGTACATTTGTCCTATTTGTATTAGCTTAAGTATAACTATCTCTAACATATTTTATTCCTCTCTAGAAGTATCTACAAAATTAACAGTTGTACTAAATTTAATCTGGACGTCTGTCTTTTAATCTATCAAGTTTGTGATCAACGTCCTTGATGCAGCCACGTGTCTCATTGTTTTCCACACACATAAGTCTATTGACTTTCGATGTATCCGATGAGTGTTGTGTCGGAGACTCTTCTTCTTTCTTCTTCCTTTCTTCTTCTTTGAGAAAAATCGATGAAGACCTCTGTTCTCTTACATCCCCCTCAAGTTGGAGGGTATAGAATTTACTCCCAACTTGGTAAGAACCGAGTGATGAGAAGGACCAGAAAGTGATTTGGTAAAGATATTGACAAGTTATGAAATAGAGGGAATATAGGAGAGTGTGGTGAGGCCGGAAAGATACTATTGGCGGATGAAATGGCAGTCCAACTTGACGTATTTCGTCCGCTCGTGAAAGACTGGGTTTCTAGCGATGTGAATCGCCGATTTGCTGTCAGAGAGTACAGGAACTGGCATTGAGGGTGTAATAGAAAGATCTTCAAAGAGCCTAGTGAGCCAAGTGAGCTCTGCAATAACACGTCTCATGGATTTGTACTCCGCTTCGGCTGATGATAGATAAAGAGAAGCCTGTTTTTTCGATTTCCATGAGACAGGGGAACCACCAAAGGAAATGTAAAATCCACTGACAGAGCGTCTTGTTTCCGGGCAAGAGGCCCAATTTGCATCGCAAAAGGCAATCAATTTGAGAGAAGGTGCCGAGTTAAAGGGAATCCCTTGACTTGGGTCAATTTGAAGATAGCAGAGAACATGTATAGCAGCAGTATAATGTGAAAGTCGGGGACTTTGCATAAATTGGCTAAGTTTGAGAACAGCAAAGGATAAATCGGGTCTCGTATGAGTTAAATAATTCAATTGCCAATGAGATGCCGATAAACAGTAGGATTTGGAAGAAGGGGTTTGTGGTCTACATGAAGCTTGGTAGAAGGCTCAAGAGGAGAAGCCACCGCAGAAGAATTAGAGACATCAAACTCACGCAATAAGTCCATGGTAAATTTTCTTTGACAGACAATGATCCCTTGTTTTTCCCTGATAATTTCCATACCTAAGAAATAATGTAGGTTTCCTAAATATTTGACTTTAAATTCTGTATGAAGAAATGTTTTGATAGCTGCAATTTCTGGTAAATTATCTCCACTGATAAGTATGTCATTCACATAGACGACTATAATAAAAATAAGATTCCCTTCTTTCTTGAAGAATAGAGAGTAATCATTCAATGAAGAAGAATACCCTTTGAAACTCAAAGCACCAGCAAGTCGAGCATACCACTGCCGTGATGCTTGCTTTAAACCATATAGGGACTTTCTAAATAGGCACACATGATTGGGACTTGGTGGGGATAGTCCAGCTAGAAACTTCATGTAAACTTCCTCTTGGAGAGTGCCATGGAGAAAAACATTGCTTGCATCCAATTGATGAATTGGCCAGCCCTTTTTAGCTGCAATTGCCCGTAGACACCTTATGGTGGTCATCTTGACCACCGGTGAAAAGGTTTCAATGTAATATATGCCTTCTTGTTGAATGTCTCCTTTGACTACCAAACGTGCTTTAAGTCTTTCTATTATCCCATTAGAGTTATGCTTAACCTTGTACACCTACTTACAAGGTAGGGCCTTCTTTCCAATAGGTAGCAAAACTTCATCCCATGTATGGTTGGCCTTTAAGGCCTCAATCTCTAAGTTCATGGCTTTCTGCCAGCCTGGGTCCAAAGAGGCTTGAGAGTAGCTGCTAGGTTTTGGAATTTCTGAAATTGAATGCATGAGATGCTGATTTTGAGGTGATAAAGCTCCAAAAGAATAGACCTGAGGCTTAGGGGGAAGAGCAACACAAGAATCAGTTAGGTCAGTTAGAAAAACATGATTGCACACATAATCATTAAGATGACTTGGCAATTTGGATTCTCTAGAGAATCTTCTAAGTACTGGTGTGTTATGTGGGGTAGATACAGTTGGTCTAGGTAAAGGGTGAAATGGTGATGAATCAATTCCAGGAGAAATAGGTGATGCAGGATTGTGAGGAGTGATATTGATGCTAGGTGATGTTTGATGAGAGGGAGATTGAGATGTAGTTGTGCTAGGTGAATAAGATGGCTCAGAACTAGATTTTGGAGGGTGAAGAATAGTGGCACTATCTTGGGGAGAAGACAAAGGAAAGATAGTATCTGGAGGTGAAGAATTGGATGCAAAGGGGTACTTGTTTTCATAAAAAATGGACATCTCTAGACACAATTATTCTTTTAGAATCTAATTATAATAATCTGTATCCCTTCTGTCCTAAAGGATATCCTAAGAAAATACAAGTTGTGGCTCTTGGATCAAATTTACCCCTTCCATTAGATAGAGTATAAGCATAGCACAAGCAACCAAAAGTCTTGAGATTGGCATAGTCAAGTGGTTGGATGAAGAGTACATAATAGGGTGTCCTTCTTTTAAGAATCTTAGAAGGCAGCCTGTTGATCAAATGAGTGGCAGTTAACAAGCATTCTCTCCAATAAACAATGGGAACCTTGGATTGAAATATGGGGACAATGTCTCTTTGTCAAAGAGGCAAATTCAAAAGTTTTATTTTTTCCTCCATTTCCCATTCACTCTATTTTAAGTTATAACAAGCTTAAACCCAACAATCCCCCACGTGAATGGAGAATGGCTATATCACGAAAATATGCATGAAAAACTGTGTGATTTACAAGCAAAGATTAATCGCATCTAGATAGGGATGGCAAACAGTGCGGTGCAGTGCAGTTGCGGGGCAAACCCGTATAAACCCGTGAAGGTTTCAACCCGCCCTGCATAACATTTGCACCCGTATCCACCCGTCCCACACCTACACCCGCGTCCACCGGCCCCGTATAATTAATTCTTTTTCATTTTCCTAGTTTTTCTTAATTAATGTTTTGCTGGATTTTTAATTTCATGAACTAAAAAGTGAAAAGCTCTTTTGTTGCTCATGTACTGAATTTTTGCAATTCTTTTTTTTAAAGAATTTGTTCAATTAGAATTGAAGATTGAAAAAGAGCGAGTCACTTTGCCGATGGTATTGGAATTTGAAAACAAATATGGGAATAGGTGGCTTCAAACTTCTACAATTCTGGTTGGCTGCTAGTATGTTGTATGCTTTTAGTTTCAAAACAAAAATGAAGTTAATTTAATATAATATAAATTCAGGATTTAGTTGTATGATATTTTAAGTGACAAAATTAAAATAGTATTTTTTGTGTAACGAAACTTCATTAGATAATTTTTAAGTGACAAAGTTAATAATTTAATCATAAAAATATTTGTCTGAACAACATTTTATATTCCCTTAAATGTCTAACTTTTTTCTTTTTCTATAAATTTCAAACTTAATTAACATTTCACTAAAATGTGTATTTGAAAAAGAAATTATAAATGATTTATTTTTGCTTATGTGAAGTATGAAATATTTAAACAGATTAGTCTTTAAGGTTTGCCTCACTGGATAGCTTGTAAAATAAGCCAAAATCTAGAAAAGTTATGCAAACCCGCGTAAATTCGCATAGACCCGCGATCCGACCCGCACCGCCTCAGTCTTTTAAAAAATAATCTCAAACCGCCTTGCACCCGCCCCGTACCGCATAGCTTTAAAATCGCACCGCCCTGCATAGCCTTAAACCCGCACCACCCCGTACCCACCCCGCCCAAGTTGCCATCCCTACTAAGTTTCCCTTTGAATTTTCTGTAGAAAACTTATATCGGATATGTTCGGTCAATCGGTAGATTTGATATCTTTGAACCGTCGAACTTTGGTGTATACCTAGACAACCATAAGTCACACAATCAATCCTTAACCGTCTTTGGTTCTCATTGTTGTGTACGTTTCAGTCATGAATACCGCCTGATTTCATAAGTGCGTAGAGAGCTGACCTTATAAAATTCTCCTTGAAGCGGCTAATACTTAACACTTACATAGGTGATTTCTAAATGTGTCATCCCGTAGATACACTCATTGATTACCCCGTATCAAATTTAGAAACCATTAAAAATCATTAATGCTTTATCCTTGATACTCAATATTATCTCATCACGAGAATGGACCAAAATTTTAGCTGACAATATTGAACCGTCATTAATGACTTTGTTTAATCTCCTTGAACCTAGATCTTGGGATCTCCAGTCTTCTAGGTTAAAGTCACCACCACAATGACTTGTCCTCGGTCATAGTCTCGTTCCCCTTGATGATCTTTCAACTACCTCTCTAGTAGGCTTTTTGTAAGAGGATCCGACACATTATCGCTTGACTTTACGTATTTAATTGTGATAATCTCCCTAGAGAGTAGTTGCCTAACGGTTTTATGTCCTCGTCGTATATGACGAGATTTACCGTTATACATAACGCTCTCAACCCTTCCAATTGCCGCTTGACTATCGCAGTGTATGTATATTGGTGCCAATATTTTGGGCCAAAATAGAATATCTTCATTTCGGAGCCATTCAGCTTCTTCACCGGCTTTATCTAAGGTTATGAACTCAGCCTCCATTATAGAGCGGGCAATACAAGTTTGTTTGAACGACTTCCAAGATACCGCTCCTCCACTAATAGTGAATACATATCCACTTGTGGATTTAGAATCAGTTGAACCGGTGATCCAATTTGCATCACAGTATCTCTCAATCACCGCATGATAATTATTATAGTGCAAAGCAAAGTCTTGGATATATTTTAAATATCCCAAAACTCGTTTCATCGCCGTCCAATGAGATTGACCTGGATTAGTCGTGTATCGACTCAATTTACTTATAGCACAAGCTATATCTGGTCGAGTATAATTCATGATATATATTAAACATCTCAACACACGAGCATAATCCAATTGTGATATGCTTTGGCCTTTGTTCTTTGCAAGTGCAAGATTCACGTTAATTGGAGTCTTTTGCAATTTTAAAATCTAAGTGCTTGAATTTTTCATGTACTGTTTTAACTTTTAATGTAATAAGATTGCTACAATGCCAAACCTTGAGGAGTCTTATGAATCTTAATACCCAGAATTAAATCGGCACTCCCAAGTCTTTCATATCAAACTTGTTAGTTAGCATACACTTAGTCGCATTTATGTTGGCAATGTCATTACTCATTATCAGCATATCATTCACATATAAGCAAACAATGACTATGTGATTTGGAACATTTTTAATGTACACACATTTATCACATTCATTTATCTTAAAACCATTTGACAACATTGTTTGGTTAAATTTCGCATGCCATTGTTTGGGTGCTTATTTTAGTCCGTAAAGCGACTTAACAAGTCTACATACCTTCTTTCTTTACCTGAAACCACAAACCCTTCAGGTTGTTCCATGTAAATTCCTTCCTCCAAATCTCCATTTAAGAAAACCGTTTTAACGTCCATTTGATGAATTTCAAGACCATATACCACAATTAATGCTATAATATCCGTATGGACATAAGTCTTGTAACTAGAGAGTATGTATCAAAATAGTCAAGACCTTCTCGTTGTCTATACCCTTTGACCACAAGTCTTGCCTTATATTTATCAATAGTACCATCATCTTTCATTTTCCTCTTAAAAATGCATTTAGAACCCAACGACTTATTGCATGGAGCAAGATCAACCAATTCCCATGTATGATTGTTCAATATGGATTCTGTTTCACTATTGACTGCCTCTTTCCAAAATAATAATTCGGAAGAAGACATAACTTCTTTAAATGTTTGAGGCTCATTTTCCAATAAGAAAGTCACAAAATCTGGTCCAAATGAAGTAGACATTCTTTGACGTTTAATACGTCTTGGATCCTCCTGATTAGACATACTTTCTTTAGTTTCTTTTCGAGGTCGTTTAGATCCTTCACCAATCGACTCACATTTCTTTTTATACGGATATATATTTTTGAAGAATAATTATGGGTTTGGAGCTGAAAAGGTCTTATAAGCCTGCTGTGTGTCCCCTTTCGTTAATTGAGGGGTACATGTGACCAATAGTAAAATAGTAGGGGCTAAATTGACCAAATAGTACAAAAGAGGGTAACTATATGCCATATTCAATAATAAAGGGGTATTTGTTTTTTACCCTTTTCCATTCTTATAAAAAAACACACAAATAGAAATAGTTCACTTTAACCGAAAATCCGGTGGTTTAGGGTTACACTACGTCGATGCCGTGTGCATGTGGAACTAAGGTGGTGGAAGAGGGTGAAAAATTCATGAGTGGGACCTCGTCTGCGGAAAAGGAATCGACCCCTGAGATGACATTGAAACTCGAGGATGAGGATGAAAATAACAAGAATGATTTGAAGTTTGATGATGAGTCCAGATCTGATGGAGAGGAAAAAGGGAAGGAGGATTATGATCCGGATGATTGGATGACGTGGCCAAATAAGGACGTCTTTATCAAGTACTATCAACAGCTACGCGAGAGCGATGTATGTTCATCACTACTTCACCATTGTTTTTTGCCTATTCCATTTTCTTTTTATTTGTTTCATTTTTGATGAAACTAGTACCGGGTAACTCTGCCCACAAGGTTAAAGAAAAATTTAGTAGCTTATCAAACGCCACCTGAATTTGTGCATATTTGACTTGTAAAAATACTACGCCTTAAATTTTGATACTTGTTGTAACTAACTTGTTTATTGCTTTATGATTAACTATGACTTGTAATTGCTTGAAGAAATTAAGTGAAAGGTGAATATCGAATTAGTTCTGGAACTGAATTAGATCATGTGTTTTTAACTAGGAGATAGTGTTAAATCATGCAATTGAGACTGTTGAGTTGCAATTTTCCCCCACCAGTTTGGTGTTAATACCAGACCTCCAATTTTTATACATGAAAAGAGCTGGCATGCTCTAAGAATTGTAATGATATGTCTATAAATCATTCTTTTGTAGTCATAATAATTCGTGTTCTTTGGAATCCACTTACCAAACAAATGCCAAAAAAAATAATATGGAGTGTGTGTGCTTGTGTTTGTTCCTTGAACATCTTTTGTCCGGTTCAAAGTTACTCTTCAAGGCATCCTTGTGTTTTCCCTGTCAATAGATGCTTATTTATTTAAAAACTACAACTTGTTTCAGTATTTTCTTCTATTTCACTATTAGTGAAGATTAGCAAAAGAAAGATGTATAAGCTGTTTTATTTGTTGTTTGCTGGGGACTAGTTCGGTATAATTGTCATAACGTGTGAAAAATAAGGCAAGTAGTAGAATTAATCCCACATAAAAAAAAAAAAAAAAAAAAAAAAAAAAAAAAAAAAAAAAAAAAAAAAGGTAGCTCAGTGCACTAAGCTCCCGCTATGTGCAGGGTCTGGGGAAGGGCCGGACCACAAGCAGCGGCAGACCCATGATTTTATACAAGCGGGTTCATTAAACACGGCACCAATAATAAGAACGATATCAGATATAACAAGTGAGATTTGCTCAACTATATTTTTTCTTTTTTATTCACTACAACAAATGAAGTCATCATTTTTAAGTCGGCGTTTTTAGCTTTACCAGTTGAGCAAGTTTTTTTAATAAAAGTACTACAAATTCTATTTAAAATTTAATTTTAGAATAAATTATCTACTTACTTGAACAAATTTAAAGATTTGCTAACTAATTTTATTTAACATATTTAAAAGTATATTAAGCTCTAAAACATATAACCTTCTTTAAATATTTTCCTCATTTGTAGAAATGATGTTGTTATTTACCCAAAAAAAAAAATCAAAAGAAAGAGTATTAACTATACTAAATTAATACAAATAATTGAAGAGAGCTTATAAGCTAAACTTACTCCGAATGAACCTACTCTGAATAAATTAACGTTCTGAAGTGAACTTAATTAGGGTAATGCGGCCATACAAACATAATTAATAATAGTCATAGTCAAAAGACAAAAAGTGCTGCTATGAGGAGTCGATCGCTGAACTATCCATAGCCTTTGAACCCGCTTGACCACCACGCCACAAAGGTGTGTTGTGTCAAGCGGATTCATTATTATTTAAATAACCTTATTGTTCTAGTATTAGATGATAAATACATGTATACACAGTATATATTTTTGACGAAATGGGTTCATTTGAACCCTCTTTGATACACGTGGGTCCGCCCCTGGCCACAAGGGTCTATTGTACGCAGCGTTACCCTGCATTTCTGCCAGAGACTCTTTCCACGGCTCGAACCCGTGACCTCTTAGTCACATGGCAATAACTTTACCAATTACGCCAAGGCTTCCTTTCAATTAATCCCACGTAAATATGTAGCTATATAAAGTGGTATCAAGATGTGGAAGATATGAAGTTATCAATTTACGTTGAATGCTTGCTGCCTTTTCTATTTGAAAATAAGGGTGTAGAAAATTGGGAGCCTCATGGAAGAAGAAAATGAGTGTGAACTTGAGGAGTAGTATTTAGAAGTCAAACTCCCTCCTCCTGTGAAGTTAAATTTTGACACATTTTAATCCAGAAACTGAATAGAGGCTCATGGAAGATGCTATACATTTTCCGATATTAACTGAAATTCCTAGGACGTGTATGTTGGTTGTACTACTGTAGATTTGCATCATTGTGCCATTTGTTGAATGTCATTTATATATGTGGCTGGCTTTACATGTGGATACTAGGTGATGTAAACATAGGTTTCCTGATATCTCTCTTTTTCTCCTTATTATTCTTTTAAAACTTTATTTTGCATATGCTTTTATTTTTGTTATCTATTTGTGTAGTGTAGTTAGTGCTTAGCTAGATGTGTTTTACATGAATCAATCTCTTTTTAATAGGCATATTTTTTTTGTATATGGCTCAAGAAACTATGGAATTTTATGTGCAAACATTCCAACAGTGCATTCCTCCTTTCTTGGTCATTCAGCATCTATGGTCGGTAAAGCTGGTTCAAGTCAACTATTTTTCATAGGTTGGGAGGGGATGGGAGATACTGTAGCATTTTGAAATCTGTGAATTTTAGATCCTTTTTTTTCTATATCACATTTGTCATGTGTATACTATATCCAACAAAATGCATGTTAGGAGGCGTACTTAGTTCTGAGGCACTGCACTCTATGAAATAGGATGGTGAATCATTCTATGGGGCTAGTCACCACCTAGTCATCAGATTTGAACTGGATTTCTTTTCACAGCGTTTGCAAGAGTGCTGCTTACAATTTAAAAAGGCATTAGACAGGGCCTAATTGCATTTGACCTTTTGTTAAATGCAAGGACCTCGTTTGGCTTTATATATTTTGGTTTCACGTGTTCCCTTAGTTCTTGAGTCATAAAATTGACTGCATCTTGTTTAGTTAAGCCTAAGAAGAAGAAGGGGAGGTATTACTTTGAAGCTTGTGGGAAGGTCAGAGCAAGATGGTGTACGTTTTACCTCCTTTCTCTTGAGTTTAATACCTGACTGATAAGAAATCTTTAGGCCTAAATGTGTATTTGAATTTTGAGGGCCATAGAATTTATGCCTAATTTCTTTGCAGAATCTGGTGATCTCTTTCCTTCTCTTTGTTTTTCTTTATAACGGCCACCTCTTTTTTTTTTCTCCTTTTTTGTTTCTTGTTTTCCTATCAGTGTTCTGGTGAACTTGTACGCACCTTGACTATTTTCTCCCTGTGCCTTGTTTTTCTTGCTTTTTACATGTAGATGGCCTGAAAATTGATTGTAGAGATGGAATTGAAGTGGTGCTCCTGTTGGATGTTCGAAATTACCTGTGCTTTTCCTACTCTGTTGTACATTTTTGCGGTAATTAATGCTATAACTAATAGGTAAGACGAATGCACAAGACATTAACTTGGAATTTTTCTAAATGAATGGGAAAAGGGATTCAATACTTGCTTGAATAGAAGTTGCAAAATCTCTATGCAATTACAATTTGTCTATACAATGGTTCCTTTTTTTTTGGGGCCTTCGTTTTGGGTGCTCTCTCGATATGGTTTGTGTTGAAGGGAAAATGATATATGGTTTTTGTTGACTTTTGCTGTTGTTTTTTAAATACGTCTTCATGTCACCAGCCTACTATCCACTACAATGGGTGGTATTCTTTTCTGTGTGGCAACTGAAATGTTCGAAATTCGTAACTTCTCTTTCGCTCTCTTGTCTGCACAGACGTACATATCTGCGTACATAACTTGTTTATATGACAGAATCTGCTCCATGAAAACACATTCTATTGTGGTACAAGTTTTCAACTATCAAATTTGTGATTATATTTTACTCTCTTTGTTCAGATCTTTCAGAATTCAAATGTTGAAATATAAACCTTTTGATGCTGTCGCAATTCTCATCTGTTAATTGTTATGTATTTTAATAGGGTTTTGAGTTTGATGAATACCCTGGGTCGTGCTTGTTTGCTCCCATCTACCCCATGATAGGATTTGAAAAATTTCCTGAGTTTGTGGATGAGATCAAGGGTTATGCTTCAATGGCAATCAAGAAGTACTTTCACAAAAAGAGAAAAAAGGTATGATCTTTACCTTATTTGGCCATTGCCTGCGCCCTGCTGTCCTGTGCTTCCTTCATAGATATTGACTTTTACCTATTGTTAACTGCAGGGAAAGGAATACAGTATTAAAGAGATTGTGAGGATAAATGCAGGTCGTTGTCGTGACTTTAACTACTACATTACCTTTAAATTTGATGACTATGGGAAGGAAGGAACTTTTCAAGCTAAGGTGGTAAAAACAATTGAGGGCACAATAGAGATTCCAATTTGCAGGCACAAGCGCAAGGTCTAAGTTCTTGCTGAAGTATCTGTAGTAACTCTTGGTGTTTGGCGCCTCTTGTGTACAAAACCTCACTCTCTTTTACTAAAAGAGAGCTAGTATTATTGGTTTTTTTCTTATCTGCCATTGACATCTTATTGGCAAGGTACACGCTGCTTCTTTTGATGTTTGTGACTTGTAATGGCTTTATAGTTAAATCTTTCAAACAATATGTTACACGTATTTGTTCCCAATATCTGAATGGATTGGTAACAATTTCACTTTGGAGATAGCTTTCGGCTTATTTGGCTATGTGCAGGCAAAGTAGAAGGTGCCTTTGAATTTGGTTTATTTTGGACGTTTATACTTTTGCCAGGGTTACTTTTCTTATCCTCTTGAAGGGGAGCAGTGGTAAGTGAATTGCTCGTCGTTTTGAGGCTTCCATTTTAGTGCTCAATATTCTGTCGCAAGGTCATCTTGAATTGTCATTGCGAGAAACTCTGGTTGGTTTCGTGGAACTCGCTAAACACCACATTATTCATCTGCATCCTATTAATGCAAGGCACAACTAGGCTTTTGAATATCCTTTGATAGGCCGATAAAAGAAAAGAATACGTACATTAAGTTGAAAACTGGAAAGATCATATTATTTTCAATAAATATAAACTATTTTGCAGAGTCAAATAAAGAAGATTTCAAGAGAAGGATTTGTTATTTGACAAACGAAAACGAAAATTCCCAAAGAACATGCCGTAACATAATAAATTGTGTACCTTGGAGCCTCCCCATATTTTTAAAATTATTTAATCTATATCCTAATTTTTTAGACAAGGTGGGTTGCTCCGATGGTAAGCACCCTCCACTTCCAACCAAGAGGTTGTGAGTTCGAGTCACCCCAAGAGCAAGGTGGGAAGTTCTTGGAAGGAAGGATGCCGAGGGTCATTTTGGAAACAGCCTCTCTACCCTAGGGTAGGGGTAAGGTCTGCGTACACACTACCCTCCCCAGACCCCACTAGTGGGATTATACTGGGTTGTTGTTGTTGTTGTTGTTGTATATCCTAATTTTTACAACTTGAGACGCCTCCTCTTTTTCTTCATGCGACATCCTTTCTTCCTCCTTTCTTTTCCTCCTCTTCTTCCTCCTCCTCCTCCTCTTCCTCTTCCTCTTCCTCTCTTTAACACATGAAACTCTGTGTAAGTATTATTGATTGAATATGAAATATACAGTGATTTAGCATACTAGGGTATGAGTTTTACGTTAAGTACGTTGTATTATGCTGAATATAAGAACACGGGTCCAGGATCGAATATCAGTAACAGGGTTACATGGACTGGTTATCCTGGTGAGATTAACTTCTTGGATGCATCTTATTTCAGTGTCTTCAATTTCATAGTGGAAAATTATTGGCTCCCTTGGACTGGAGTCCCTTACACTGGTGGTTTTTATATTTCTAAGCAAGAATTTTTTCTTGATCTTTTATCTAATTTGGTTGTTCTTCAGCTAATTCCAAGTCTGAAGTTCTTCACCGGGTCTGAAGTTTGCACTGAAGAACTTCAGGCTAATTTGTCTGAAGTTTGCACTATGAACTAAAGTTTTCCCGATTGCCTTTGCAAGTCAGGCCAAACTTCAGGCGAAAATATATGAAGTTTTGCTTTGATAAGGTCACACTTCAGGCAAAAAATTCTTAAGTTCAAACGACATAATTGTTTACTACTTCAGGCCCGTATGTCTGAAGTTATCCGAAAAGTGGGTAGACTTGCAATTTTTTGTGCAAAGCGGGTATAAGTTCAATAGTGACCCCAAAACTGGGTATAGATGCAAATGCCCCGTATTGTTGTTTGATGGTGAATTTTCTATTGTTCACATAAAAACATACAATGCTTTACGAGTAATGATTTTTTTGTTTAGCGAAATTAGTGTAGTGACAGTATTTTGGGGGTTATAAGAAAATATAAGGGATAAAATTTGTGAGTTGAAATTAGTATAGCTGGACTCCTATTCGAATGAGTTGTTAGAATTTGTGAGTTTTGCCGGGTTCCGAAGTACGAGCCCGGTTTGACTTTTTGGTTGACTTTAAGTATTTGATTAAAGATTCGAACTTTATAGTTTGGGTTTGTTTCCTATGGCATTATTTGATGTTTTTGTATTGCTTTGTCTAGTTTCGAGCCGTTCGGAGGTCAATTCGCGCGGGATGATGTTTCTAGAGCATTGTTTGGTTTGCTCGATATTGGTTTGACTTGTTCGAGGTAAGTAACATATTTAAACTTGGATTTGAGGGTAATTATCTCTGAGAACTATGATATTTGAGATATGTTGAGGGTGACGCGCGTGCTAGATGACGGACGTGTGTGCCTGTACCGAGGTACTCATCACCCGGGTAGTTATTAGGCTATTATATGCCTTGTTTTGCTATCATGCTTCTTTGATATCACATTTTCTCTATTTGTATGATTATGTGAGTCATTATTCATGCTAGAAATCATGTCTAGGCTATCTGCCCAATTGTTTGAGACATGATAGGGCTATTTTTGCCATGTTGAGCTATTTGCCTTAGCCGTAGCCATACTGTTCAGTCATGATAGTTATATCCGTATGTTATATCTTTATTTCTTTACACTTTTGATATGCGGTCTCACATGTTATTGGTGTCCTTGTACGTGACACGAGTTTGAACTGTATTTGTGACACATTGTGATACCTCATGTTGTATAATTGGATTATGTTTCTGTGAGATGTGAGTCGTTGTGACTTGAGCGAATTGATGACCGATGTGGGCCATAGAGTCGTGTTGTGAGTTATAATCGATCAGGTTGCATGCCACAACGTATTGATATTTGAATCGGGTTGCATGCTGCAATAGATTGATATTTGGATCGGGTTGCATGCCGCAACATGTCATATTGCCTATTGATTAGCACTTAGGCCAGGATCCGCCCTTCCAGAGTTTGAAATTACATTGAGGGCAGGTACAATGATATACACGTGCTTTGGTGAGGGGCATTTATGCCACGCACCCGTATAGTGTTGGGTATTGTGTGTGATGGTAAGGAGCATTTGAGCCAGAGAGTGAGTGTACTTGATGATTTCACTATGATATTATTGACTTGACACGTATATTTGACATGTAGACATAGAGATGTATTGTCACACCCCAAACCTGAAGAGGCGTGGCCGGCATCCGGTGCCATACTTGGCCCGAGCGTACCACTCTATAACTGTGAACTCTGGAGGGGTAACCCTCAACTTAGGCCGATGAAGCCATATTCTGAATCATCTAAAAATAACATTTACAACCAGCAATACCAAACTAAACATCTACATAGGGCTGGTAACGCCACAATACTGATATAAAAAAAAATGTACAGGACTCGTCTACAAGCCTCTAGGGATAATTGAACGGTATCATGGCCGGGATAGGGCCTCGACCTACCCATCAAACTTGTATATATAAAATGGACTCCAAGGCATAGACCTGGTAACTTCGAGAAAGTGGAGCTTACCAACCAAGCTGATGTTTGACTTTATCTACTGGGAAGGTTTATCCAGCTGTCTATCAGAACATGCAGGCATGAAATGCAGCGTCCCCAGCAAAAAGGGACGTCAGTACGAAATAATATACCGAGTATGTAAGGCAACAGAATAACTGAAAGCTGAAACTAAACTGATAATATAATAACTGAAAGTACCTGAGAGTCAAATATAATTGAAGATATGCTTACCTGCTGATACTGACTCATCTCTCTCAATATAGTAAGTAAAATAGTTGTCCGGCCATATAAGGCTCGGTATGTGTAACTGCTCTGCCGTACTAGGATTACTTATAGGCGCTCGACCATACTAGGCTCTGTATCTCGGTCATTCTGGGCTCATTCATAGGCGCTCGTCCACAGTAGGCTCGGTATATACTTACTATCTGATCAGAGGTTGCACAATATAGGCCTGCCCACCGATTATAGCTCGATGGTGGTGTAAATACTGTAATACTCTCTCTATATAAACTCTCTGATCTCTTGACTGAAAGAAGACAATACTTAACTAAATATAAAGTCCCGATAAGGGAGAATACTGTAACTTATGAGACTAGGATAATGTACATAAGTTCAGGAATACGAACTTCTCTTTATGACTCGTTATCAAACTCGTGTAGTTATGGGATCATGCCAAAATAAAGAAAGGTTTAGGCTTACATACCTTAACTTCGTTGAGTCCTTAATACCTTCCAAGCAATTCTTCAAACAACTCAACTCAATCTACCACAACATAAGAAGATTCAAAATTAGTGCCGAGTAAAAGCTAAGTCCACGACTTAAATTAGTAGCTCGTTTAATTAAATTTGGGCAGCATCTCCCCTCTAACAAGGCCCTCCTCCAATACTATATATCAACAACAACAAGAACACAATAATAACAACATGTATGAATCATTTTTCCAACCTTATCTCTATCACAATATACCACAAAACAGCCCACACACCCTAATCACTTCATACATAAAACAACAACAAAAGTAGTGTCAAACAAGCTAAAAAATATAACGACGAATGATCAGCTCACCATTCAGTTATTATGTGGTATTTATCCACACCTTTTCTCCTCCAAAACTCCATAAAACGTCAGCACAAGAGGCCAACATGAGTTGACTACAAAACATTCCACTAAAAGTGAAATAAATCTAACTCATGGCTTCCGATCACCATCCCGCGAGTTCTAACTATTAGAAAATGAATTTATCAACTTTCTTGACATTTAAAAGCTTAAATACAGAAAGTTGGCATTTTATTAACGATGAAATACCTTCCAAAACTCAAACTAAAATGAAAACGAGAGGCAATATAGCGATACTTGCGTCGTAGGAATCGTTCTAATGTTATCGCTTCTTGATTTCGTATCCGGGATGTTAATCTTCTTTGGAACTCTTGTAGGGAGCTTAGGGGTACGTTTTTGGGGGTTCCTGCGGTCGTGTTCTATGAAAAATTAAGAGAAAGACGATTTGAAACCCTATATATATCAACTTTAGAAAAGTCAAAGAGGTGCTAGCTTGGCACCCTAGTATTGACCCTTCTTCCGACGCTTATATCATTTTATCCGGATATCGTATGAATAAACGATTAAGAGAGTTAGAAACTACATTCCAAGACCTTCAATTTGGTATATAATATGTCCCAAAAATACCTCATATAACACACGAAATGTATTGCTCAAAAAGCTTCAGTGACACACCTACTTGTCACCTATGCAGTCTGCGCAGTCTCGCAAAAATACACATATCTCTCTACTACGATATCGTATCGA